TAAAAAATTTAACCGATTGACTTGAGTCCAATATCAAAATTTTAGTTTAAAAATTCGGTTTTAACCCAATAAGGCCGTTGGACCCAAGAAAACCCAATTAGGTCCGCACAGACAGGACAAGCCTGCAGTTGCATTGAGCGTTGCTTAATTTACCCCCTTCTCCAAAAGTCTTCTTCTGTAAACACCAACTTCAAATCCACGCCCGACCAAGCTCCCTCACTCTAAGGTAAAAACTTATTTTTAGCCTTTTATTTTATCAATTTTAAAGGTTTTAGTCTCTTACTTTATACTATAATATTTTTATCTTTTCACCTTACTAAATTTATAGATTTTAGTCTTTTACCTTACTAAATTTGTAAATTTTAACCCTTCACTTATTAAAATCAAAGAAAATAACTCTCACTTTACTCTAATTATTAACTCTATTAGTTGAAAGTAGATTTTTATTAAGTAACAGTTAACTGATAGCCAATTAACAGAATTAACGAAATATTATAAAGTTAATTCTGTTAACTCTAAAAAAGTTTTTGACAGTTAACAATTAACTAATAGTCAGTTAATAGAGTTAACAGTCAACTAATAGAACTAACAAAATGTTATAAAGTGATGGCTATTTTCTTCAATTTTAATAGGTGAAAGGCTAAAACTTACAAATCTAGTAAGGTGAAGGGTTAAAAATGTCATAGTATAAGGTGAGGGACTAAAACTTTCAAATTTGGTAAGGTGAGGGGCTAAAGTAGGTTTTTGCCCACTCTCAATTCCCAAACACAATATCGCCAATTTTCAAAGATATAATGAGTTAAAGAGTATAACTCAATTATATAACGAATGTGCAGTTCCTTTTGAGCTTTGGGAGGTAATTCTCTTGCTTGTGATCAGTTACTATCAAATAGGGCCATTTTGCCTTCTCCAAACCTCAGATTACGCCTGCTTCAATCAGTGCTAGTGATACTCCGTGAGTGGGTAATGTCTGTATTTGCACAGAGAATGGGTACAAGTGCTACTGGAGCATCTTTAATACTGGGTGGAGCATTTCCACTGGAGCAGACAGGACTAATCAACCAAGGGATTCGAGATAAGATCACTAGTGCAGCGAACAGGTTAAATTCTTGTATCTGCATTCCTTTTATATGATATGTAATGCCCTT